TTTTACATCCCAGAGAGTGTTTGGACCAACAAGGAGGTGTCCTACTCGCATCTGAAGGTGTTCCGTTGCAGATATTTTGCACATGTACCAAAGGAGCAGAGAATAAAGCTGGATGATAAATTTGTTCCCTGCATATTCATCGGATATGGAGATAAAGAGTTGGGATACATATTGTGGGATCCTGTAAAGAAGAAGGTCATCAGAAGCAGAGATGTAGTCTTCCGAGAAAGTGAAGTTGGAACTACTGATAATATGCCAGAGAAGGCCAAGAATGGTATAGTTCCTAACCTTGTTACTATTTTTTCTACTTCTAACAATTCCACAAGTGCAGAAAGTAGGACCGACGAGGTTGCCGAGCAGGGAGAGCAACCTGGTGAGGTTATTGAGCAGGGGGAGCAACTTGATGATGATGTCGAGCAAGTGGAGCACCCCAACCTCTAAGGAGATCATAAAGGCCAAGGGTAGAGTCATGCAGGTACCCTGCCACATAGTATGTCCTCATCAGTGATGAGGGGGATCCAGAAAGTCTTAAAGAGGTGTTGTCCCATACAGAAAAGAATCAGTGGATGAAAGCCATGCAAGAAGAGATGGAATCTCTGCAGAAAAATGGCATGTACAAGCTGGTTGAACTTTCAAAGGAAAAAATACAACTCAAATGTAAGTGGGTCTTTAAACTCAAGAAAGATGGAAATGGCAAGTTGGTCAGATACAAAGCTCGATTGGTGGTTAAAGGCTTCGAACAAAAAAATATTGATTTTGACGAAATTTTCTCATCTGTTGTCAAAATTACTTCTATTCGAACAATTCTGAGCTTAGCAGCTAGCCTAGATCTTGAAGTGGAGCAGTTGGATGTGAAAACTGTATTTTTTTATGGAGATTTAGAAGAGGGGATTTATATGAAGCAGCCAAAAGGATTTGAAATAGCTAAAAAGAAACACATGGTGTGCAAATTGAATAAGAGTCTTTATGGATTGAAGAAGGCAGCAAGGCAGTGGTACATAAAATTTGATTCATTCATGAAAAGTCAAACATACCTAAAGACCTATTCTAATCTATGTGTATACTTCAAAAGATTTTCTGAAAATAACTTTATTATATTATTGTTGTATGTGGATGACATGTTAATTGTAAAAAAAGACAAGGGGTTGATCGTAAAGTTGAAGGGAGATTTGTCCAAGTCATTTGATATGAAGGACTTGGGCCCAACACAACAAATTCTGGGTATGAAGATAGTTCGAGAGCGAACAAGCAGAAAGTTGTGGCTGTCTCAAGAGAAGTACATTGAATGTGTACTGGAACGCTTCAACATGAAGAATGTTAAGCCAGTCAGCACACCTCTTGCTAGACATCTAAAGTTGAGCAAGAAGATGTGTCCTACAACAGTGGAGGAAAAAGAGAACATGGCTAGAGTTCCTTATTCTTCAGCAGTCGGAAGCTTGATGTATGCAATGGTATGCACCAGACCTGATATTGCTCATGCAGTTGGTGTTGTTAGCAGATTCCTTGAAAATCCTGGAAAGGAACATTGGGAAGCAGTCAAGTAGATACTCGGGTACCTAAGAGGTACTGTAGGAGATTGCTTGTGTTTTGGAGGATCTGATCCAATCTTGAAGGGATACACGGATGCTGATATGGCCGGTGATACTGATAATAGAAAATTCACTATTGAATATCTATTTATTTTTTCAGGGGGAGCTATATCATGGCAGTCTAAATTGCAGAAGTGTGTTGCACTTTCAATAACTGAAGCAGAGTACATTGCCGCTACATAAGCTAGCAATGAGATGGTATAGCTCAAGCGATTTCTTCAAGAGCTGGAATTGCATCAAAAGGAGTATGTCGTCTATTGTGACAGTCAAAGTGCAATAGACTTGAGCAAGAACTCCATGTACCATGCAAGAGCAAAGCATATAGATGTGAGATATCATTGGATGCGTGATCAGATGGAGAACAGATCATTACAGGTTAAAAAGATTGACACGAGTGAAAATCCTGCTGATATGTTGACCAAGGTAGTACCAAGAGACAAGTTTGAGCTATGCAAAGAACTTGTCGGCATGCGCTCAAACTAGAAGACAGTGCTACCTCCTCTAGATGAATGAGACTGGAGAGGGAGATTGTTGGGGTCCATCTCATTCAAAAACCAAAGTAATAGGCATGTGCCTAAGGAAAATATTTGGGAGAATTTTTTTGGTTTGGTAGCCAACTTTGTTGAATTTCTTTGGTTTGGTAGCCAACTTTGTTGAATTGTCAATATTGAAGAAAAAGAAGAAAAAATATATGCAAATTGTCAAATATAGTAGGCTTTAGAGAGTGAGGCTTCGGCCATAAAAGGAGAGTTTCGGCTCTCATTTCTAGACACCAACAAAGAGAGAAAGAAAGAGTGAGGTTTCACAGACAAGGTATAAGAAAATAGTTTGTGAGGAAAATAGAGAGTGAGCAATATTGTAGTGAGGTGAGAATATTAAAAGAGGGCTATTTCTTTTGAGTGTTGTAGTGGTCTTCGGAGTATTTTACTCGGACCTACAAAGAGTAAAATTCCTTGCTATAGTGATATCAGTTGCTCGTCTCGGGGCCATGGTTTTTCCCTTATTAAAAAGGGTTTTCCACGTAAAAATCTTGATGTCGTTCTCACTCTTTTATTCTTGTTAATTACCGTATCTCGATGCGACGTTATTATTCTGCTTTTATTACCGTGAATATTATTTTTGTAGGGGGTTTATTCATGACATATTTAAAAGTCCCCCTAAAATATACTCAACATGGTTTATTCAAACATTTTACCTCAATGCCAAGTCGAGTAACAGATTCCACCTCCCTTGCAATGGCTATTGTAACCTACTCCTAAGATAAGGAAGTCTAACTATCAGAAAACTAGCGCTGAAAAATAAAAGAACATTGCAATACTTTGTTGCATGCATTTATATTTATGGAAGTGCAAGGTCATACTTATGATTCGAGAAATGCCTTACTGATGCTAAGACACAGCAGTTACATGCAGATGCGGAGCCAGGAATTTAAGTTCATGAGTTCGAAATTCTAATCTTCTTAAGTTACTCACTTCTAAATTAATAATTTGTACATATGTAGCATTTTTTATAAGACAAATATATAGGTTGAACCAAAGCTACTGGGTTCGACCGAACCCGTCACCGCACTCTAGCTCCGCCCCGGTTACATGGAGTAAAATTATTCAACCAAAAGTAAAGAGGCCAGGCTACATGTTTGCGTTTGATTAGTAATACATTTACCTATCAAAAAGAAAGGATTTTCTTGAATCTTCGCTTCTCTCTTGAGTTTTGAGATAATCTCTTAATGGAAGGGCTCCAAAAAAAGGATTTCTTGAACTTTAAGCAATAATGGGATAGAGGCAATAACATGACATTTAGAAGTTTCAGGTGTCGTGATAACAGTGTAATTTATTCATCAAAGTTGGCCCTGCAAATATGCTTTAGGATAAATGATCGAACTCAGTATTTTTATGAAATGTCTGAAATTAACGGCTTGCTTTCTATATCCGTTTCACCTTTATTCTGAAATACCTGAATTAGCACCAAAACCAATTATTGAAATAACTGAATAAATACAGTACTAAAAAACTGTCAAAAAGCATCCAGAATAATCGACCGAAATCGGTCGGAATCGAACAAAAATCGACTGATTTCCGACCGTAAATTTAAATTTTTGGGAAATCAAATGAATATTTTTGACCAACGTCGGTCGGTAGGCGGTCGATTTTCTGGGTATTTTTGGCAGAATACAGTTGTTTTATAGTTGCACCACCTGCCAACAACCAATCATCTATAATGACAACATTACTATGATGCCATTCAAACAACAACAACAACAACAACTAGAACCTTCATCATCGGCATGGTTCGAAAGAACACGACGAGAAGGAGATACATCTGGGGAAGGCTCACGAGACCGGGGAATGTGAAAAGTACCACTAGCAAGAAGATTGGCCAGTTGACCTTGAAGAACATTAAATTGTTGGTCCATCTTTTCTAGCTCAACTTGAAGGGTATGAAATTGTTTTTCTCTCTTTTATTCTCTAGCCTTTGTCTCTTTAAGCTATGTTGTCAGCTTTGCGATCTTCTTCTCCATAGACGAGAGAGTCGACCTATCAATTGCCTAGCCCTAGGCAGAAGTCCCTATATTAAAACTTAAGTTGGAGCAACAACAATATATACTCGGTCAAATCACATAATTAGAGAATATATATATATATATATATATNTTCGGTCGGTATTTTTATAAATATATTAAAAGTAATTTTTTATTATAAAAAATATATATATTAAAATTTCCAACCGACTTCGGTCAGTAATTTTATAATTATATGAAAAATAATTTTTTATTATAAAAAAACAATTGAAGCAGGGCGGGAAAAAATAAATTAAAATTTCCGACCGACTTCGGTAGGTATTCTATAATTTTTTTAATTAATCATTTCTTTTGTAGATAGCTATGGTGGGACTAGCCATGTTGGGTTTTTGTCTAAGATAGCTAGTGGGAATGTTGTGGCTTACTATTTCGCTTTTCAATGCATGTCTTATTTACTAGCTATCGCTTTTGCTTTGCATCTTTCTTCTAGATTTCATGGTGTTCCTATTTTTCTTATGACTGTTGTGGTGATACTAATATTTACTAATATTGTCTCCCTTTGCTTTGCTTTGCATCTTTCTTCTGGATTTTATGGTGTTCCTATTTATCTTATGATTGTTGTTGTGATACTAATATTGTCTCCCTTTTTGTCCTTTTGTCTTTTTGTTTTTTGAGCCGAAGGTCTTTCGGAAACAGCCTCTCTACTCCTTCGGGGTAGGGGTAAGGTCTGCGTACACACTACCCTCCCCGGACCCCATTAGTGGGATTTTACTGGGTTGGTATTGTTGTTGTTGTTGTAGATAGTATGCAAGTCTGACCAGACTTTAGTCAAAGATTGACCATTAAATTTCAATTTTGTCAGATAAAGAAAACTTTTTTTTTGTGGGACCACATTTTTCGAACAATTGCGGTCGGTATTTTTCTCAGATTGCACTAATCAATAAAGAAAACTCTCAAGATTGCACTAATCGGAGAGTTCTTAAGCAGCAGTCTTCTTAAGCATTGCAAGTTCTTGTCTCACAACTACGACCCTCTTAATCTTTGCCAGCATAAGCTTGAACCTGTCAAAATCATTAAGTGCAGCCCTCCTCTTCTGCACTATCAACTTCCTTCCCCAAGAACTGTTCTCCCACTTGGTCTTCACATCAGCAGCTTCCATAGCCTCAACCAATGTCTTCTTCTTTGGGATTCTTTTGATGTCAATTTTGATATCTGTGAGTGAAAGTCTCTTGAAGTTAATTTGGCTCCTTACCATGTCGAGGGCATCAACAAGAGCCCTATTTTGGTAGATGACGTCGACGATAACGACCAGCTTGCCATATTCCTTTCCGTAGTTGATTAAGGCTACCCTTCCAATCTCCACGAACCTCTTGAACGGCATTTTCGGCGATCTGAAGGAGTAGACGCGCGAGCTACCAGGAACTTCTTAAATCACTAGGAGCTGGATATTTTCAGTTGGTTCTCTAATAGTGATACCCTTATTACTACTGGTGTTCTGTTTGGAGACCTCAATTTATTGTGGCTTAGTCTGATCAGTTACCACAAGCTTGTACTGAACATTAGCTGTTTTCTTGTCTTTTGATCCTCTCTTTCTTGTCACGGTTTGATAACCTTCTTCATCGTTGCTCTTTTTCTCGATCCTGGATTCTTTTTCTTATTTGTTTTGTTCTTCTCTTTAGACTTTGACTCTCTCGTCTCTGATCTTATTCCTGCATTGACTTTCAAGATGACCTTGAAGTTTGCAGTATAAATAATAGCTAGGGACCTTCTCATATTCAATCTCGAGCCATCTGCTATCTTCAGTTCCATCAAGTCGGTTGAATCCCAACCATACTTGGTCTAACCTTGGCTTCAAGAGATCAATTTCAACCTTTATTTTAGCTACATTCCCTCTAGCCTTGGAGTATGTGGCTTGGTCAGGGGCCACGGCCACACCGACATCACTAACCAATTTAGAGATAACTTTTCATCTAAATAAATGCCATGGTAACTGGTGAATCAAAATCCATACAGGGACGATTGATGTCTCCTCTTCAGGTTTGAAATGAGTTGTCCATTTTAAAATCTTCATAGGAGCTTCTCCAATATCAACATATTCCTTGAATAGGATATGATTGTAATCCACTTCATTTGTAAAATCAAGATAAACATGTCTAAAGTCAAGATAAGCTATTTTCACTGATCCTATTAAGTGAAATTGACTGATAAAGACTTTCCTAAGTTCCTCCATAGTAGGCTTTCCTCGGTAAAATTTACCTATGAGAGTAAGTTTACAATCTTGTGCCAGTGTCACAAAATAATCCTGAGCAGTGAAGAAAACAGTTGGTTTACCTAAATGGGTGCCATGTCTGATTTCAATTGATGATGTTCCATCGTTGAGGAATGGAAGTTTCGCTTGGACTGCCGCAGCAAAGGATGGTTTTGATACTCCTTGATCATTACCTCTGCTTCCATAGGGAGCCATATCTCTATTGTTTCCGACTGCGGTCTTTATCAATTGGGTATTCAAAGGTACTGATTTCAGGGGTGGGGAAGGAGGAATTGGCTGCGTGTTTTCAAAATGGGTAGGCTCTTGTTGTTGCCCAACATTGGTATCATCCATTTTATCATTCTGTCTTGGAGGGGGATCAAAGTTGGAAGATATTTTAGGTTGTGGTGGGACGATGTCAGAAGCAAAGGTGAGATTTGGGTTGGCATTGTTAATATCAGATTTGGGGGTTTCAACAGTGTTGCTTACTGTGGTTATTTGCTTTGGAAGGTTGAAATTTGCTGTAAAAGTAATATTTTTGGGTTGTTGGGCAGTGGGGGTAGATATGGAGGTTTGGTTGGTCGAATCTTCATTGGTTGAATTGGGTGCGTCAGGAGGCATAAGGGGTGGTGTGTCGGTGGAAGTCATAGATATTGTAATCGGATAAAAGAGAGAGGGGAGAGCATATTATCTTTGACTTTGCAATTGCAGGCGAATTTCATTAGGAATTTGCTTGTGGTACTTCTAGCTTGTAGTTGCTCAGATTTTGAAAAGTATTTCCACTCCACTCCTATATAACATGTGAATATTGGTGTACCTTCGTCTACTTCAACCGAACTAACTTATGAGGTGAAGATTCACTTAAAAAAAAACATATAGAATATCAATTCTACAGCCCACAAATTATGTGGGACAACTTAACGATTTCCACTATTAGCACTGCAGCCTCAACTTCTACGTCAATTGCATTCACTACTCTATGTCCAACCAAATAAGCAAATGACTAAGGAAATAACGCTTTTAGGTAACATCATATTTTCAAATCCAACTATTTTTCGTAATAATAATTTATATACATACTGAGCGAGTCATTACTGTACCTGCCATTTAGGTGGTCTGCAGATTGTCGATGTGATATGAGCAACATTTTATAACTAAAGACTGATAAGACCCATTAAATTTGATTTGCATTGGACTTTGTTGGAGAAAGGGAGTGGGGTTAGGTGGGTGAGTGTGAGGGTGTGGGGTGGATGGGCAAGGCAGGGGAAGGTTGAGAAGGAGTTTTGGAAAATATTTTTCATTTCTCTTGATAAGGAAAATATTTTCCTCCAATTGGAAGAAAATGAGTTCATAAGGAAAATGTTTTCCAAAATATTTTAGCCAACCTAACATGGGAAAATTAGAAAATATTTTCCGAAAAATATTTTTCCTCATACCAAACACACTCTTTCTGCTTTTCTCTTTTCTAGTCCCATTCGGTTAATCAGGGGCGGCTCAACAACATTTGTGACCTAAAGCCAAAACCTAATTAGAGGCCTTAAACCTAAACAAAAAATTTTAATATATCTAGCTTTTTGAGATGCAAAGTTATTAATAATTTTTCTATATCTATTTTTTAAATAATTCTTTATCAATTGATAATATAGCTAAAAGTTTATCAAGAGCTCATCCTTCATATTTTATAAATTTTCATCTCTTCTCTTTTTTTCATTTTCCTTTTGAGTTTTGATGGACAGATTCATATTTTCTAGTTGACATACTTAAATTCTAACAAATATTTAAAAAGAATACACTTATAAAGTAAAATAAAAAATATAAGATAAACAAATACTAGAAAGTTAAAATGATAATCCTTGATTCAAGAAGTTTGAAGATTTAATTTCGAAATATTTGTTTGCTACTTCAGTATACTTTTCGCAAGCTTGAAATGTGATAAAGAAAAGAAAATAATGTACAACTTATTCTTGGTTGAAATAATTTTTTTCATTTCCGACAAAAGTAGTGATGCTCAATATATTATATCAATAGTAATATTAAACTTTGTTTTTGTAGAGAGCAATAGAAATTACCAAAAGTTTTAAACAATGAACAATTGAACTCTTGAAGAAACTATGGAAAAAAAATATAGACAAAGTATATAAGTTGATCCCGAAAAAATAAGTATGTCAGTTAATGAGAGAGTAAAATGAGAGATCATGACTCTCGCACAAACCAAAAAAGAGAGTATAATGTTTCACAATTTTCTAATGAAAAAGGGCTAAAAAAAAGAGTAATAATTTATTTTATTTTTTAAGTTAAATGGTCATTGTGCAAAGCTAAAAACTTGGATTTCTTTTTATATGATAAGTGTATCTTTCTTCAGAATATTACTCAATATTTTCTCAAAAATAATAATTATATATTAGCCTATTATTTGTAAAAAAAATAGGGACCCCGAAATTTGGGGGCCTAACGCAACTGTCTTAGTCGCTTCACGTTCCAGCCGGCCCTGCGGCTAATGGATGTGCATATTACCTCATTAAGTTATTGGATATATTTATAAAGTCCCATGAAAGAGAAACAAAAGTTCTGTTACAGACTAAATAAGTCAAACACATATCCAACATATTTTTTAATGAATAATATGGACGGATAACTATTTTTTTTATCTCACATAAACAAACTCCCCTGTGTTTTTCATTATTTGGATTATGCTTGAAATTAGTCATGTCTTCGCAGTTTTTCTAAGAAGTTCTGTTCCTATCAATAGAAAGATCTCTTTCTTCTAGCAGTGCGTCTTAAATTTAAGACTTACTTTTATTTATATATGCACGTAGTTTGGCTCGTTATAATCATTAATCCTATTAGGCTAATGGATGTGCATTTTATGCAAATTATAGGAGCTTTTTTGTACTTGTGAACCCCAATGATTATGTTGGTGGAATTCGAAGTTGTACAAACAATTCAACATATTATTGTCCACGTACAAATTAGGATTTAATCGGGCTCCAATATTAATACCGAACCAAAAAAACAAAAAAACTCAACATGTTATAATCGCAGTAGAAAGACATTGTAAACTTGTGTTACCTCTCTACTATTTTATTGGATAAATAACTAACACCAATGTATTGTATACAACTACACGAGCGATCGAAAACATTTTACACAAACAATACTTTATCTCTATTTCTATATTACTACAAAAGGAGGAGGGAAGGCAGAGACTTTCCAAGTACAAGAATTTAACAGTTATAAAAAACATCCCTTATGCGATTTTAAATACCAAATACACTGTTAATAATAAATTATTACATTTTAAACTATGCTTCTCTATTGTTCTAAAAGAGAATAACACCAATTTAAATGAAAGAACATGATTAAACTTGAAAATATAATAACTCCCTTTCTGTTTTTTCGCCTTCAACAACAACAACTCTCTATCTTATTCTTGGGGTGACTCGAACTCACAACCTCTTGGTTGGAAGTGGAGGGTGCTCACCACTAGAGCAACCCACTTTTTTCGCCTTCAAATTGACACTTAAATAATAAAATAATAGGATAAAATGCACTAGCAGTTCTTTTAAAGAGCATCTATAGCCTTGCTTACACAATATTGACTCCATTAGCATATATCAATCTGAATAAAGTTGAAGATTCCACCAAGTCTAAGATGAAAGTACTTAAATTAAAGAAGATTTTCAACAAAATAGGAAGAGAAAACAAAATCTTTTCGTAATCATCTTCATGAAGTTTTTTCTATCTTCATGCTGTCAAATACAAATTACAATATGATCTGTCCAAAATATACCATGTCCTAGCTAAAGAACAGAAGAGGATATAAACTACAGAAAAAAGAACAAAGAACTATACAACTTCACAAGGAAACAAATAGTACTCTTGTAAAGATTCATCAAGTGTATTTCCAGCACTGTTTCTATCTGCAGACGGGCTCTCAAGAACTGCTGCCACACTCTTGCCGGATCCTCCAAATACTTTGTATTTTTGAGGATCCGACACGGGTGTGGCGGCATTTTTGAAAGATCAGAGCAACACAGCTCAATCTGAACATGTCCGAGTTGTGGAAAATGCTTGAACTCGCGACAACAATAACTACGCCTCAACAACCAAAATATCCTTGAGCTTATGAATCTCTTAAACTCTTACCGGCAATCCATAGTTGTGGAATGTCCGAA